ATCCTGAACTGAACTCAACACTTTGGTTACAAACCATCTACAGCAAGAGCTCTCACTCTTTGGGGGCTATTTACAGAACTCCTCCCCGAGCCTAAACCTCCTCCTAACACTGTGAAACACACACAGTCCTAAGGAACTCTTGCAATTCTGACAATTTCCAGGTGCCACTGTACCGTCTCTCCCAGGATGCCTGAGCGGACTCTGCGGAGCTCCTGCATCTGGCCCCCCACACCCAGCAGCAACCCCAGGTGGACGCAGAGGGTTCGGATGTATGTGCCTGCTTCACAGCTCACCCAGAAGATACCTGAAAGGTATGACAGGATAGAGAGTTTTAAAGCAGAAAATAAACCACATCTTTCAAGAGAAGCTGTATGCCCAGCCCTTCCCAGAGCCATCAGCATGGGGTGATAGATGAAGGTCATCTTTGCCCTGAGAGCTAATGCCATCTAATTGACATCATTTGGCTCTTCTGTGAAGGGTGCAGCAGTACAAAAAGAGACGGGATTTGCTTCCCAGCACACCAAAGCAATGCATGAAGCAGTTACTTCTGGACATTTGGAGGCCTTAGGTCTTAAGACATCTGCCAAAAGCAGCCTATTTCACAGAAAATTTTATCAGTTGTCAGTTTTATAGGAAGAAGGCAGGAAAGCCCTGTTTTACCTAATCTTCTCTCAGGATCATACTCCACCAGCTTGCTCTCGTAGATGGTTCTGACTCTCAGCTGTCGTTTGACAGCAGCAATGAGGGGTGGCCGCTGGAACAGGGCACCTGTCAGGGTTTCTATGGCCTGAGGGAGGAAGGAGAAGCAAGAGTTAATACCTGAACCCTAATGCAGGAGTACCTTGGTATCTGCAGCAATTATGTCCACTTCCAAGAATGAGAAACCACAAGGTTTATCCTGATTTGGTGATGCCATATTTAATAAAGCAAATCCAAGCCAGTGATGTGGTCAACGTGCCAGTGAGCACACCCAGGATTTTTCCATTAGATGGCAGCATGTGATCAGACACCATCCCTCGTCCTAGTGAGGATGGAACCCCCAAAGAGGGGCTCCAACCCTGCCAGCACTGCTCCCCTCCTGCAGGCAGCCAGCCACACATCACAGCAGCCCCCAGTAGGACACTGGGACGCTGCAGGATGTCTGGAGGCTGCACAGCACCCAGACCCTAGAACAGGAGCTGGGGTGCTGCAGGAGGGCAGCTCCACTGCACTCAGAGAATGGATAAACTGTGTCATCACCTCACACACAGCACACCTGAGCTATATTCCTGGCCTTTCATCTTCCACCACTGGCCAGCACTGCATGCCAGATGCCAGCATGGCTAAGAGCATGTGAGACTTACCCTGGCCAGCTGAGCCTCACTTTCAATGGCATTGTGCAGCCGAACAATTCCCACATACTCTTTGCCTGAAAGAATGACAAGAGCAGTCAGGAGTGGCCGCTTGCATTTGATGTTGGACCTCAAGGTCCACCCTGCTTCACACCCACACATCCCCAGAACCCTGAAATCCTACCACCTCTTCTACAAAATGGACATGGCTTATTAGAGACTTGGTTATTCCTCCAGGGAAATAAATCTAAGCTAATTTATTCTCTGGACTGGTAAATAAATTTCAACTGGTAGATAAAACTTTATCAGAAGGGATTTCACTGATTTATAACAGCCCAAGCACCAGAGAAGCAATGAGAAAACCACCTGAGACAACATGGATGTGTCCTCGGTGGCTTGGAATAACATGTAACCCTTAAAGGTGAAGGCACTGAAGACTAAGATTGGCCTTTTCAAGTTTTAGGAATCTCCATTTTGTGTCCAAAAGCACTTCTCACACCCCCAGTCACTGCAAAGGGCCCTGAGCATCAGACAAACCTGCTCCCTGCTGAGATTTGACCAGCCGTGTCGCCCTCTCGATGCACACAATGAGGCACCCAGTCACCTTGGGATCCAGGGTGCCACTGTGCCCTGTCTTCTCCACCCGCAGGATGCGCCGAATCCACGCAACCACCTCATGGGAGGATGGATTGGAGGGTTTGTCGAGGTTAATAAAGCCAGACCTATAGTGCAAAATGGCAGGGAATGGAAGCTAAGCATCAGGGCAGACACAGCAACAGTGCAGTAACATTGAAATGCTGTCCTGGCTGCAAAGAAATGTATTTCTGTACAGCCAGATAAGCAATGAGCCTCCCAGCAGCTCTCAGTGAGCCCACACTGACCCAACTTCATGCACAACAGGTGAGATAACCAATGGTCAAGGACTTCTCCCCTGCCTTATCACTTTTCTGCATTTAAAAAGTACCCGAAATTCTACAAACTCCAAGCAGTTTCAAAGCCCAGCAGGCCAAGGAACTTTTCCAAAGGCACCAGAGAATTCCTTAGGCAGTTTGCATGTTCATCCACAGATCTGCTACAACCTCAGAATAAAGAAAACTTTACAGGGAGAGATCAGTGGGTCCTATTTAAATGTTTACTGACTATGGCAATGCGCTGAGCGAAGAAGAAAGGTACAAGGGGAATCCAGACAAAATATTTTGAAGGTATTAACTGTGAAAGAAAAATAAACCACTCTGGCTTGTATTGCACTCACCTAACATAGTCAGAAATCTCTCTCTTCAGGGGATTAGCACCGGAAGGAAGAGGTGTGTAGTGTGCTGTCCTCACGTTTAACTTGTCAAAGTTCTACAAAATCCAAGCAGAAGTTACAAGTCTTTTTAAACTCTCTTGATTTCAGTGTTGCTGGGCTGCAGTACATCTCCCCTGATACACTAGGTCTCATTTGTACATTTAAATGACAGAGCCACTTCCAAAATGAAAATGATCCAACAATGAAACCACGACAATATTTTATGAAAATCGAGAAAAACAGAAACCCTCGACTGAAGGAAATGGGAAAGCAGCATTGACAATAAACCGAACATTCCCCAGAAACTCAGGAGAAGCAACCTGGAAGTCTACACACATAACAGGCCACGGTCAGACCCAAATTAAAAACTCAAAAAATATGGCGGGATCTTTCCAAGGCATGAAAAACTCACAAAACTTAACGGATACTGCTGGAGAGACTTCGTAACACGGTTTCTGCAGGCACAGCACCACGTGTGCCGCTCGCAGCAGAGAGCACCTCCAGGGGACAAAAGGAGCGGGAACGCGGCCGGGCCACGAGGTTGAGCAGAACCCGCCCTACCTTCAGCAGCAAGGGCCACTGCGACGTGTCCAGCTGGGCCACCCGGGACTCGGGCTTGATGAGGAAGTCCTCGGTGTGCTGAATGTCCTGGGGGGGTGAAGTTAAGCGGGATCAGAGAGGAGGAAGCCGGCGGGCCGCGCTCCCGCCGCCCTCTCCACGTGGCCCCGGCGGCTCTCGCCGCTGCCACGCGGGGCGGCCGCGCTCCCGCCGGGTCGGAACGGGGAGAGCCCGTCCCAGCCCTACCCACGGTCCCCGCACCGCGTCCGCATGGATGGGGCTGCGGGAGCCCCCCTGCACCGAGCACGGCCCGATCAACCCGCCGCCCCGCGCTCACCGCTACATCATCATCGCCAAGCGCTCGCTTCTCCTTCTTCCGCCGCTTCTTCGCGCTGGAACCTGCGGGAGCGACATGCCGGGAGTGAGCGCGCAGGGCCGGGAGGGGAGAGGGGAAAAGGCCCAAGGGGGGCAAAGCCGTCTGCAGAGCCTTCCCCGAGCGGCGCCGCGCCGGTCCCAAGCCCTTCCCGTGGCCCTCTCCGCCTGGAGTCCCCGCGCCCCCGCCGGTCCCCACCGCTGCGCACCGTCCCCGTCCGCCATGGCCGCGCCGCGTGCTGTCCCCGCCGCCCGGAGCGCAGCGCCCGCCCCGTCCCGCCGGGCCCCGCGCCGCCCGCGTCACCGGCACCGCCCGCCCGCGCCGCGCCCCTTCCGCCGCCTCCGGACCGCCCATCCTCGGCTCGATCGTGGAGTTACAGTTCTAGCTACACTTTCATCTATCGAAATTTAAGCAGGACACGGACTTACGTGATTTCGCCCGCATGGGTTTTTAGTTTTGCCTCCCGGCCTGGCGCATGCACGGCTAATTTAGCCATAAAATAACATCCAGTTTCGATCCGAGCCTTTCTTTAAAACTGCCGTTTTACCTTGTCGAAAAGAGGCTTGTGGTAATTAAGGCTTCTTAAAATTAGCAGCTTCTCTGCGTTTCAGAGGGGCAAACGGCAAGTTCTTCATTATTTAAATGTGCAAGGTGAAAAACAAACACCGGCGAAGTATTTGAAAAAACTGCTGTCTCCAGACCCAAATATTAAGACCACTGTTTAACACAATTACTTGTTACATCTGGCTTCTCTTCCAGGTGTACAAACGGGATTGCCTTCTTTCTGAAAGCCTCAGCCTCTGCAGGGTCCCTGGAAGTGCTGGCTGAAAGCGTTTGTTTCACTGACCAGTAGCTGCTCTTTATCCACCCAACATGCACACCCCCGGGGCATCTCCAGCTTTCAGGATAAAGCCTGCACTGCTTTAGGTGGTATATTAGCACGGCTGGGATTTAGCAAGGCCTGTACCCAACAGCTGACTGCACCAGACAGCAGGATCTTTTCTCCTCTAAAGACCAGCTACCTTAACCTAAAGATCCCAAGCAGAAACCAAGAGACAGAAGTTCCTGAGAGCAGACAGGTAACAGCTTAAAAGTCCACATTCCAATAACTCCAGTAACTTCACCACCCCCACGATTAATTTCATTCCCAAATTCCCTTAGCTGAAGTTGATTTGCCATCGTGCAGGTTCAGGTCTCTGGGTTAACACCTGCTACAGAGACTGCAGTCAGGCCACCATCACCCTAGGAACCACTTGCAGGTCAGTGACCAACTCCTTTAGTCCACCACAAAACTCAGGGCCTCGTGTTGGCTGCAGTGTCTGTTGTTTTCAGGACGGGGAAAAACTTAAATCTTATTTTTATGTAAGTTTTTTGTATGTTTTTTTGTTTGTTTGTTTTTAAAAAACCAGCTCTAATATTTGATTCCTAGATACCCAAATCCTTCAACACATACAAGTTACAGCCAGTCTTTTAATGAACAACTTCCTTCTGCCCTGAAATGGCCTTTCTACTTTAGGGTTACACTTCTTCCAAGCATGACAACTTTCAGTACATACAGTGAGCAGTTTACTGTAACACAGGGAAAGTGAATGCATTCTCTCATCAACCATTACTTCACTGCGTTACAGAACTCGTATTAAAAATAAATAACGGGATAAAGTCTGTGCTGGCACCGGCTGAAGCGACCAGTCCCTGCGGGCGGCGGCGCTCAGAGGCCCTGTCCGGCGGGGCTCAGCATCTCCTGCAGTACCAGGTGCAGCAGATGGTTCTGCTCGGCGCTCAGCAGCGGCCACAGCTCGGCCTGCAGCGCTTTCAGGGCCTCCGCGTCCTTCTCCTGGCAGGCCAGCACTGCCGACTGCAGCAGCAGGAACAGCTCGGCCGGCAGGTAGCTGGCGGCCGGCGGCAGCCCCCCGCTCGTCCCAGAGCCGCTCCCGGTGCCCGTTCCGCCGTCGGGCGCCTCCCAGCAGTACTGCTCCAGCGTGCGGGCGTGCTCGGGCAGCAGCTTGGCGGGCGGCGGCTGCAGCAGGAGCAGCAGCAGCACCCGCGACACCTCGCAGCGCGCCAGGACGTCCAGGAAGGCGCCGCCGGGCGCGGCCCCGGCCGCACCGCCCAGTCCGGCCCCGGCCAGCGCCTGCGCCCGCGTCAGCGTGGCCAGCGCCCCGGCGTAGTCGCGGGCCAACAGCAGGCAGGACGCGCGCTCGGCCAGGCAGCGCAGAGCCTGCAGCGGCAGCCGCGCCGCCGTCAGCAGCTCCGCCGCCCGCTGCAGGGGCGCGGCGGCGCGGGCGGGCTGTCCCGTGTCGCGGAGCGCCGCCGCCAACTCCAGGCACGGCCCGGCCGCCAGCGCGGGCTGCCCCCGCTCCAGATGCAGGCGGGCGGCGAAGGCCCCGCAGCTCTGCGCCGCCGCCACGTGCTCGCCGAAGCCACCGCGCAACCCCAGGCGCTGCCGCAGGTCCCGCTCCTGGCGCAAGAAGAGCCGCGCGGCCTCGGCCAGCGCGGCCGCCTCGGCGGGGCCGTTGAACAGGCTCTGGGCGCAGCGCGCCACAGCCAGCTGGCACCAGGCGGCGTAGGGCAGGCTCTCCTGGGCACGCAGTTCCCGCGCCAGTGCCGCGAACTGCTCCGCCGCCTCCGCCACATTCGGTTTCCGCAGGAACCGCCGCCGCAGCTTGGCCGACACCAGCCGGTACCGCGACAGGAAATCACCGTCGCCGCCAAGCCCCGGCCCGGAGCCGCCCGGCCCGCCGGGGCCGGAGCCGCCGCCCGCCGACAGCATCGCGGGCCCAGCGCGGAACTGACGCGCCGCGCCGGGACGCGCTCCGCCGCGCGCCGCCGACCAATCAGCGACCGCCTCGCCCCTCTGAGCCGGCCAATCAGCGCCCGCGCCGGCCCCTCGTGACAGTGGGGCGTGGCGAGGGAGAGGCTACGGCGGCCAGCGCAGCGCGACCCAGCTGTCACCGCCCACGATGGGCGTGACCATGCGACACAGCCCCGCCCCAGGCAGGTAGCGAGTCTGAAACCGTGTGGCGCCCCCTTGCGGACTGGAGGACCCGCTCTCCTGCTCCGGCCCCACCGGGACCGGGCCGGGAAAGGGCCAGGTTCTCGAGCTCTTGGGGGAAACCGCAGCAGCCAGGTTCACACAAGAACAATGCATCCAAATGGTAGCAAGTGGTTGGGTGACCCTCCTGGCCAAAGGATGTGTGGCGGCAGGAATTTTAGGTGACATCGAAAGGTGACAGGTATCATAGAATCGAAGAATCACTAGGTTGGAAGAGAACTTCAAGATCATCGAATCCAACCCATGCCCTAACACCTCAACTAAACCATGGCACCGAGTGCCACATCCAATCTTTTTTTAAACACATCTAGGGATGGTGACTCCACCACCTCTCTGGGCAGACCATTTATCACTTTATCACTCTCTCCGTAAAAAACTTGTTCCTATTATCCAACCTATATCTCCTTCGACGTAGCTTAGGACTGTATCCTCTCGTTCTGTCAGTGCTGCCTGGAGAAAGAGACCAACCCCCACCTGACTATAACCACCTTTCAGGAAGTTGTAAACACGTGGACGAGAGAACCCTTGGGGTCCCTAAGTAGATAAACGATAAACTCGAAGAATCCCCAGCGCTGAGAATATTTGGTGCCCGAGAGAGTTAAGTGAACTTGAGAACACCCGTGCTTGCGTGCTCCTCGTTTTTCCCTGAGCATCTGCCGGAGGTACGGCTTGGGCTGGCTGGGAGAGGCTGTTCTTGCGCTCCTGTCCATATGACCACATGTACCCAACTGCACGCTCCCTGCCAGCCGAGTTGACACGGCAGCCAGACTTCCCTCTGCTCTCTCCGCATCCTGAGTATCCCATCGGACAGGCTCGGTGGCAGGTGGCACTGAGCTTTCAGTCTGTCCCAGGCCACCCCAGTACTGTGACATTCGCTATCCGTTTCCAGCACAGGGGTGAAAGCCCAGCCCTCCCCAGCGCCGCCCGCTCCCGCACCGGCCGGGGCTCCGCGGGCAGCCCGGAGGGGGAGTGGGGCCGGGCACGGGGAGGTCCCTGGGCTCTCACCGCGCCCCTTCCGCTCGCCGCCGGCTATCCATGCCGCTCCGGAGGGGGGTCGGTTTCCCTGTCCCTGCCCGGAGCGGGGCCGGTTGCCCAGCCCGTGCCGCTGCTCGCCTGCCCGCGGTGGGCACAGCCCCTCGCACTCGCCATGGCTCTGTCCTGCGTGCTGAGGCCACCGCGCTGCCATCTCCGCCCTCCCAGCCTGCCCGCTCGGCACCGCAGCCTGGTGACAACCACGGCAGCAACGTGGGGAGGGAAGAAAAAGGCCAGGGTGAGCTGCAGCCTGCCGGAGCCTTCCTGGGAGGAGAGGTACGGCTTTTCAAAATGACAAAGCATTCTTTTAAAGCAGCAAGCACCTAAAGTTATGAACGTGGTGGGTTGGGGGTTTACTTCCACCCAGTAGGAATAGAAGAGCCCGGGCTCGGCTCATTTGCCTGGAGTCTGGCCTGGAGAGGGGATAGTGGAGAAGACAAATTAAAAGTTTTGAGAGGAAAGGAGCAGCAAAAAGTGATATTCCATTCGATTTGCAGTCCTGGAGCTCAGAGTAGTTGGCACTGGCTGCTTTGGAAGCAGCTCCAAACAGCTAAACAATAGCTGCAACTTATCCAGCTGTGGGGTGGTGTTCCCCATGGTCTCAGGAAGTCAGTTAGGAGTGCTTGAATCATATCAGCCTCACCTCTTTTTGGGGGGTCTTTTCAGGGTATATGTGTATTTTTATTTTTTTAACCAGCTTTATGCGCTTTTTCTTGCTTGTTTTGCTTTGGATATGAGTAGTGGCAAGTTCTGAGGTTTATCTCTAAACTACTTCTGTGTGGGTGGCTGGGTCAGTGCGAATGGGTAGCTTGAAATTCCCTCCAGCTACTCACAAACTGTGCATTCCACGGTGGTTCCCTGGGAGTCTGGGTGTTCACAGCCAGCCCTGGTGCAGAGCCCACACCAGAACATTCGTGCCCGTGAAGTGGCTGACAGGGATGTTACGCCATAGGAATCAGGAGTCAAGTAGCTCTGGGCACAGCCTTGCTGTTGTGCTTTTCAGGTTAGCAAATGCAGTGACACCACTGTGGAGACTTCCCTACCAAGAGCAGCTGCAGGTAAGATGTGTTTACACAGACTTTTCTCTGTTATGTTGCCCCAGCTATCCCTTCTATCCTCCTGAGAAGTAGCCCTTAGCATCTTAATGCTGCAAACTCTTCAGACCCCATTTATCACTGCTTTAATCCTGTTGTTGTGAAGGATAGAACTGGGAGGTTCCTTGTAGTACAGAGAACGGGCATTTTCACAGTGATCCTGTCCTCCGTGGGACTGCTCTGCTTCAACGGGGCTTCAGGTTAGACAAAGTGTTCCAGGCCAGCATCTGGGGACCATAGACCAGGATTTTTCTTTCTTCGTATTTCTCCAAGCAGCTATGGTTATGAAAAAGGCAGAGTTCCTCTGGGGCTATATTTTCACAGTTTTTCCTCCTGGTGGACTCCCCAGAGCTGGGTGATGAAGAACTTCCCACCAGTATGTGGTCCTGTGAGAATGTTTCTGCCTGAGAACTCCTCTGCAGGTAAAGTATGAAAGCCAGAGGAAGATTTTGCAGACGCTAGCATCTCGTCTTGAGGAGCTGGGCATAGATGCACAGAAACCTGGTGGGCTCTGCTGTCCTCTGCAGCCTGTAGTCCCTTCGGTGAGTGTCCCATGGGAATGCTTTTCCCCCTGAGTGTGGTTACTGCGCTGTAAAGAGAGAGAAAAGACAGCAACACTCACGGACCTCTTTTGGAGAAAAAAGGCCAACTTTATTGTACAGACATCCCATATTTAAAGTGTGTTACGTGCAGCTAGGACAGGACAGTAGTTCATTGGACAATTGGGACAAACATCTCTTGGGACAGCATGACTGGATGTCCCGTGGGAAAGACACCAGGTGTTAATCTTTGTTATGACTTCTTTTCTGTTTTTCACCAAGTTCTCACTTGGGAGACTGCCTCCCTTAACTGAAGCTGTAGTCAGCTTAACAGCCTGGGAATGGACCTGAGAGACAGGAGAAATCCAGGCCTGAAAGGAATTGCCAAGCTGTAATTTCCTAGCTCTCTAAATGTGTGTGTCCACATCTGAGCCATGAACAGTCTCTCACTCAACAACTCAAGAGTCTCATGGGGGGCATCATTTGGTTGCAGAGACTGTCTGAATCAATCCTTGCTATCTTGTGCTTTGCAGCTTGTGACTGCCTGAGAGTGAAATAAGCCCTGTGCTTAGGAACCCTTTTTTTGTGCTAACCTGTCACCATTCTATCACAGAGAGCCACTTCTTGTCTCCCAGGGGCAGTACTGGGGTTCTTGAGCACAAGCTCTGTTTCTGTGTTTTGCCCATTCACATCTTCCCATGTTGGCAACAGAATAACCAGGCTGGGGTTTGGCTTTCCTCCATTGTTTTTCTTTTCATCCAAGGCATTACTTTTTCTTCATTTCTCCCTCAGCCCATCATTAATGGCTACCGAAACAAATCGACTTTCTCTGTGAACCGAGGACCAGATGGGAACCCCAAAACTGTGGGGTTGTATGTAGGAACTGGCAGAGGTCAGTGCAGGACATGAAACTCATAGAAAACTGCTGGCATGGGTGTGGAAATGGGGAAAGGACTCTCCACAGTTTATCACGTCAGATGCTACAGTGGTTTACGTGCTCTGAACCAGAGCAGTTAAATACCTGTCCATCTCTCTACAGAAAGAAATATTGTCTGTGTGAAAGCCAACCATGTGGAGAACATGCCCTCAAAACACAAACAAGTAGCCCAGGTAAATAAATAAATCATGTCTGTCCCTTCAGTGTGGGATAGAGAGACTGCAATAACTCTTACTTGGGAGAACACTAATTTTAATTGTGTTATGTTTTCAAGTCCACTTTCATGTTCTGAAAATTTTCATGCCTGATTATAGTTGGTGGATAAAATACTTTTATAAAAACTCACATATTAATATTGCAGCCCATGAAGTGTCCCGAGTAACGAAGTTAATTAAGTGACAATGTATTCCCGCCAATCTATTAAAATACATAAGAATTGCAAATTGAAATTATTAAAATGTATTGTCTTTGAAGAGCCTGGAAGGAGCTTTCATGCAGTGTATTAAAATCAAAAAGAAAAAGCAGACCACAATGGTGGAAAGGCTGCCTGTCTGGGGGGCTCAGAGCAGGGCAGTTGTCTTCATGGTCCTAAAGGTGCCATTTCCCCTCCCCTCAGTGTTATGAGGAGTTCATCTGTCACTCCCCCCTGGACTCCTGCCTCCTCTTCCATGAAGGGGGACACTGGCGAGAGCTCGTGGTTCGTACCACCAGCTGTGGCCACACCATGGCTATCATCACCTTCCACCCCCAGCAGCTGGGCCAGGTGAGCACATGGAGGGCAAGAGGCACAGCAGACATCTGGCTGAGCTGAGCCTGCTGGCTGTGTTACTGGGCAGAGGGGTCTGATCAGGTTACCCAAAGAGGCAGCTTTTCCTTTCTCACTTTTGACAGGAGGCACTGGCTACTCAGAAAGCATTGCTGAAGGAGTTCTTCACATGTGGGCCTGGAGCAGTCTGTGACTTGACTTCACTTTATTTCCAAGAGAGGTAAATGCCTTGACAGAGGGAGTGAGCAGAAACAAAGCCACCTCCTTCTTCTACCCCCTGTCTTGGTTTGAAAGACAGGTGCCTGCCAAGAAAGGCAGGAGCCTCTTTTTTAAAATGGAGAATGTAAACCCCCTCCCTCCAAATTATTACAGTTTTGAAATTAAGGGGCTCTCAGGCATTGATATGGGAATAGGAATAACAGTTATTTACTAGGAAAATTAAAATAGAAATACAGTATTACAGAGAACAAACCCAGAAACACTGACAGAGTAAGAGTACAACCTGACACCCCGTAAGTCAGTCAGGTTGTTGGTAGCAGTCCCTTTAAATGGTGGCTGCAGTCCTGGAGTGACAGATGTGGTTCAGTTGAAGCAGTGGTCTTGTAGAAGGGTGCAGCTTTCCTCCAAATGTCCAGCGATGATGTGGAAATATCTGGTTTTCCTCTGGAATCCAGTGGAAAAAGGCTGCCGTGGTGTTCCAAATCTCAGTTTTTATCTAGGTAGGAAAGATGGCTCCTCCCACTGGGTGGAGCATCTCACAATGGGATGATGTAATTTTATCAGTCATACAGTGGGACCCAATGGCCCATTAACAGATGATATCTTCCTGGAGAAAGGATGGGTTGTGGAAAGATAGAGATGACTGCTCCACCTGGTTTTATCAGATGGCCCTTCAGCAGAGAATATCTCCCACAGAGATAAGGATCACTGCCCCAGCTGTTTTCAACAGATGGTGATAGAATACATACTTTTGGTCACATCCTATATTGTAACCTAAGACACCCCCTTTCTGACTAAATTAAAATTCCACCAACTCAGGGAGTGCTGGAAGACAAAGACAGATGTTTGGATCCCTCTTGAAGATGTGGCTTTAAGATGGCCCCATCTTTTATTTTTCAGACTTATTTGAACATGCTGTGGCTCTACCTCATGGGAATTATGAGTCTGGGAAACTTAAAGAAAAAACTTCCAGTGACTATCCCAAGACAGTAAATCACTTTAGCAGCAAAACTGGGGAATAGACTTGAGGAAGGCTGCCTTCTGCTAAGTAATTTTGATCCTTTTAATGGAAGCTAGGCTGTGCAAGTCACAGATTCCCTACAAAGAACCAAAATGCTTTAATCTTGTTGAAAGGCTCACATGAAAGATAAGTTGTTGTGGGGAAGAACCATCCTCTGCTGCCCATGAGCACCCTAGGGATGGAAACCAGCTCCTCTCTGCTGCCTTCTAACAGCTGTTTTTTGTGTGATCTCCAGCACTATGACACGCTGCTCCCATGAGCAGTCCCCCTACCAGCTCCTCCATGGAGCACCGCACATCTTCGAAGAACTGCTCGGCCTGAAGTTCCGCATCTCTCCAGATGCCTTTTTCCAAGTCAACACGGCTGGAGCAGAAGTTCTGTACCAGGCAGTTGGGGAGCTCTGCCAGGCTACTGGGGACACTGTCCTCCTTGACATCTGCTGTGGAACAGGTGGGTTCCTGGGCTCCCAGAGCTTTGCATTCCGGAGAGGATTCTCGCTATGTAAGGGCTTGTTTCTTCAGCGTGAATGTATGGAGTATTTTTGTTTCCCGTGTTTCCAGGCACAATTGGTCTCTCTCTGGCTCACCAAGTGTCCAAGGTTATTGGTGTCGAGGTGGTGGAGAAGGCAATAGAGGATGCTGAGTGGAATGCAGCATTCAATGGTGAGTTCAGACTCTGTGGCAAAAAGCTTCAAACTAAATGCTGAAAAATCAGAGTAGAAGTGAGCAGAGGGACCCTAACCAGTTACCTTCACACAGCAAAGAGTGATTCATGTTATACATAACTCTTGGTGATACTCAGTTCATGTGGTTGCTTTTCTGTTTCATAGGGATCTCAAACTGTGAGTTTCACAGTGGAAAGGCAGAGGCTGTGTTACCACAGCTCCTGGCATCGTGGGAGGATGCCCGACCACTTGTTGCTGTGGTGAACCCTTCTCGGGCTGGCCTACGTGAGAGAAAATGCTATTTATTTTCATCTTGTAAACAGAGAGTTTTGAACAAGTCCTGTGAGACCTGTTATACTGGCTTTAAACACTTTCCTTGCTTAGTCTCTCGTTTCTTATTGCCGACAGAAGCTAAAAGCCCATAAAGTCTGCTGTTTTCAGTGCCTTCATCACGTTTTTTCTTTAGCTCTAATCTTTTTTCCATCTATCACAGGCTCACAAAATTATTTAAGAGAGAAGGGACTTCTGGAGGTCTGTGATGCAATCTCAACAATAGCAAGGCCAACTTCAGAGTTGTATGAGGTTGCACAGGGATATAAAGCCTAGCTGAGGTTTGAATGTGTCCAAGGGTGTATCCTCTCTCCTGAAAATGTTTTCCCTAATATATTTAATCAGGATTTTCCCTTGATGCCATGCATCTGTTGCTTCTCATCCTCTCTTCATGCCCCTCTGAGAAGATTCTCACTTATCTCTAATCCCCCATGAGGTCCCTGAAGATAGCAAATGGATCTTTGCTTACCTTCTCTTCCCCAGGATAAATAACCCAGCCCTCAAACTGTCTCAGTGGTCTGCCCTGGAGTGTGTACTGGGAAGTCCCACATTGGTCCTGGTGCTCAGATGCACTCTCACAAGTGTGTGTGAAAGGTTTTGCATTCCTTTGCATAATTTTTTCTCTCATCCTCCATCCCTCTGGGAAGCAGAGGGACTTCTCCCATTGCTCTGCCCTGCCTGCCAAATTGGCTAAGCTGTCAGCAGTGTGGGTCACACCCATGACCTCCTGAGAGACTGCACCTGAGACAGAATGTGGCAAAATATGCATCTGTATTTTTGACAATTCTGTGATGCTGTGTAGTCATTCCTTCTGGAGAGCTCAGAATGGTGGTGGGAAAGCAGGGTGTCTGTTTTTGCAGATTACAGGGTGGTACGAGCCATCCGGAACTGCAGGTCCATCCGCAGGCTGCTCTACATCTCCTGCAAGCCAGAGGGTGAAGCCATGAGGAACTTCCTTGAGTGAGCACTCTCCTCCTTTCTGTTAATCTCAGTGACAGACCCTGTTAAGTCCATATAAGGCATCAGTGAGGAACAGAAAATAATGCAAACATGGCACAATGAGATTGTGCATCCTTTGAAAAAAAAAAAGTAACATCTGGATGTGAGATACAGTCTATCAGGTTCACTGCAGGAAGGTTGGCCTGTCATCAAGAAGGGAAGCCAAGAGGATTTGTCACCTGCTTAGGGATTAATCATGTAGCTTTATCTAGTCAGCTTTTAGCTGGGGTAGACCCAAGTGATAAATCTGTCTGCAGGCGGCAAAACTGAAGTCAAGTGTCTTTCAGCTGGGATGGCTTGTGAGAAAAGGGGCTTTTTGCCCCTGACTGTTCAGCTTGTCCCTGAAGTTTTCAGAGCTGGTTGGGGATTTAGTATTCATGGTTCCACGCCTCAGCAAGTGTCAGCTACAGACTCTGAGGAATGTTAGCCAAACACATGATACCTCCTTTGTGGATCCCCCTTGGATTGTGATACCAGTGGTGGGAAGGCTTCTGCTACTCGTCTAAAGGATGCTCTTTGCTTTCCACAGGCTATGCTGCCCACCTGACCCACGGAAGAAGCTGACAGGGGAGAGATTTGTCCCTCTGCTGGCTATTCCTTTTGACATGTTTCCTCACACTGTTCATTGTGAGCTGCTGCTGCTGTTCACCCGCTGACAAGGAGGCAGGAATGAGCTCTGAGAGCTTGGAAGCAACCTCTTCCTGTCCTGAAGAGCCAATGTATTTAGGATTTAAACTTATTTTCTGTGAAGTTGTATAAAAATAAATAATTTAGGTATTTCTCTTTCTTTGGCTAGCCTACCAACACTGTTCTATAAGGAACTACTTGGATTTCTGGGGTAAAAAGGTTCTCTGTAGCATTTCATCACCTTCCCTTCCCCTGAAAACCTAGGGATGCTGGTTAAAGCAGCCTGGAAAAAACTCTCCCTGTGTTGAGGGAGCCGGTAGCTCGGTGTTCGAGCTGCCAATCTTGCCCTGGATAGAGGGAAATCACTGGAGCCCCAGGCAAGGAGCTGTGAATGGGTGCTGACCTCGAGGACACGGGACTTCCAGCCCTGCCTGGGTGTGGGTGGCTTCTCACCCACAGACTCTACACAAACCAATGAACAATGAGAAGACACCTCTAATTTGCCACTGGTCAGAACTGTTGTGGGAGATTTGGGATGGAGGAATATGAAAACCCAGGGGTTCCTTTGTTGGGGTCCTTGCCCCGAGGAAGCACCAGCTTTGACAATGAGATTTTTCTATAAAACGAAATAAAGAAAACAGATTTCAATGCCTCTCTTTCCACATCTGCCTCCTCCTTCTCCACTAATGATTGCTCATGCCTAAATATGAAGTGCCCTGTGAAAATGTCAGCTGCCTTGTTTTTCCTCTTCAGGATGTTCTGCAATAGCCAATTTAAAATTTTCTTCTGTTTTTATGTGTCCTGTCCTGCTCATAGTGTTGTTACATTTCTCCAGCTCTTCCAGAGATGGAGCTGCTGTAATGGGGAGGGGAGCCTGAGTGAGCAGAGTTCCCTTGTGTTGTTGAGTCTCAGAATGATTTGAGTCAAGGCTGATAAACTCCCAAGGAAGCTGGGAGACCTGCCTGTATTTTTCAGACTTTTGACTCCAGTCCTGAGCTTTGAATAATAAGAACAACCAGTTCTCAAGTCAGGAAGACTCAAAATACATGTGTTTAGGACTTGAGAATTACTACACCATAAAGGGAGTGATGATGAGATTCCTGCCAGGCATAGGAAGTGCCACTCTTGCACTATCTCATGAGTGTAGGTTTTTACACACGTTACAGCCTCTTGTTTTCATTTTATACCAAAGGATGTATTCCAGCAGTTCTGTTTTGTGTAATTATTCCTTGGTTTCTCACTGTGAGATCTGAATAGATTTCTGCTAGGTTTTGGTCAAAAGGAAATTTGTTGCATTAAGTGGAGGGGAGACAATTTCTTTAAATGAGAAAGCACCAGAGGATCATAAAACCTTTCCACAAGGCTCTAGAGAGCTGAACATACAGTATAGGTTTTCTCTGCAGTGAGGGCGGGTGACACAAGTGGCCTCATCTTCCCTTTTGATCACCAGGTTCCAGGAGACCCACAGGGACAAAACACTTCTTTATCTTTCCTAGTGCAAATAAACGAAGCAGTATGTTGTTTTCTATGTATGAGCATCTGAATATCTGAAACTGAAAGCTGTCTGTGTACAAGAGACTCCTGCCCACCTCTCCTCCACAACACATTACTCCTGTGCCCTCTGCTAACATGTCCTTGTTTTCCCACTAATGAATAAGTCTGCTCTGCCTTTGGCTGCCAGCCCACATCCCTAGAATTGACTCAGTTTCGGCTTTCTGTGGGCGATTTATGGAACACGCAAGGAAGCAAGAGGATGAGTCCCTCTTGCGCTCCAGTGCTGGAGCTGCCTGGCTCTGGCTGCAGGGCTTTAGGACCCAGGGGTTGCTGAGTGGAGGAGGCTGAATCCCCTCCCGCTGTCATCCTCCTGCCTCTGCAGCTTTATTCCTACAGCCTTCAATGGTGACGGACTCCCTCCCACCCGGGCTGGCAGCCAGAGCCACAAGGCCTCGCTAGGAGCAGATCCCCGCGGCTCCATGGCATCTCCCAGGACCATCACCATCGTCGCCCTCTCGGTGGCCCTGGGGCTCTTCTTCGTCTTTATGGGGACCATCAAACTGACCCCCCGGCTCAGCAGGGATGCCTACAATGAGATGGTGAGTCGGGCAGCACAGATGGAGGTGCTTTAGGGCTCTCCCACCTTGCAGCAGGAGCAGTGGGGGACACAGGGGGTGACTGCCCTGAAACCCCGAGCGAGGGGCAGGAAAGGGAAGAAGGTGATCTGACTCCTTACTTGATAGACATGGAGAGAAGCCAAATAATACGCAGTGCCCAAGATATGATGGCAGCCCTTGCCTGGGCTCCAGCTGAGCCTATCCACAGAGAAACCTCTGGTGGGCAAGGATGGGGAGAGGAGGCAAGGAGGATGGGGTGGCACAGCACACACAGCCTGCAGAAGATGGGGACACAAAGGTCTCTAAAAGCAAGGCCTGCAGACGTGCCAGACATGCAGCAGGCAGGGACAGCTGGTCCCCGAGGGGAAACCTATCCACTGGATGGGGGTAGGAATAGCAGATGCCTGCTCTGGCAGATGTTCATCCTCAAAATTCGATGTTTTAAAGCAAGGATAATGATACTGACTATCCCTACCTCACCGGACTTGTGCAGGGATTAATTAATGATTGTGAAATGCTTTGAGATTCTTAGCTGGCAGAGGAAGGTATTATAAATAGTCTTCTTATTATTTTCTTTGGCCTGGGAAATGAGCCTCTCTCCCTCTTGCCTAAGAGGAAGGGGGTGAGGAGAGGATGGAGAAGTCACTGTGTGCATTTCTCACCTGGTGAACTGGTTTATGCTCCTCTCTGCTCAGGGCCAGCCCTGCTGCAGAGCTTTGCTAGCTGCAAGCTGCAGGCAGGTGGATGACTGGCTGCCACATTTTGCTTCCTCATCTGTGTTTATTCCCCAGTTATATATTGTGGTGGTTGAAAATATTAGCATAATTTTTGTACCCCTAAAAAAATAGTACTAGAAGTTTCCAGCACATTCTGTTCTCTCCCTTTGCTCCAACTGCCCAGCTGCTTTTCCTTAGCTCTCAAATAACATCTCAATTGCAGTGCCTAGTCTGCAGCCCAGCATAGGGATCTCACAGAGGAAAATCCCCAAGAAGTTACTCATGGGCAAGAGACATATGAGGTAAAACCCCTAGAAAACAAATCTCTTAAGCTTCTGCTACAGGAAAAAAAAAGCACAGAGACTTCAGGAGCATTGCAAAATGCTTCCTCTGTAAAATATTTAGCTTCTGTGTTCCCTTCTGCTTTATCAAGAGTCAGGCCTACAGGTAGGAATGATCTCTGGTTTTATAAAGCAGGTATTACACAGCATCATTATTTTCCATAGTCCATATTGTTACATATTCATGGCTTATTAGGCTCTCCTGCCTTTGCTGCGCTACATACTGTGGTGGTCTGTCAGGTCATGCAGACAGTTAGGAAAAACCTGACCTTTCTAATCCATAAGGATGGCTTTTTGCCCCCAGCAAACAGAGAACCTCTGTTATCTACCTAAACCACCAAACCTGTAGTTTTTCATTCAGCAAAAAACACATTAGCTTGCCTATTAAAATACCTAAAGCACCAGAGTACTCTAGGACATGCTTACAGTACATTTTTTTTAAATGTTGTATTTTTCACAACTATTTAAAAATACTCTGCTTTGAGGTTTTAGTCAGTGATGGTTTAAAATACATCCTTACAATGCAAATACTTGGGAGTAAATTTGTCATGGGATCTTCAGTTATTTTGTAGCAAAAATGACAATGCTGGATATTTTTTAACCACCTGTGAAGCATCAGAATCTACGGAGGTGTGGGAAAGTTCTGTATGCCTGTAATGTAGGTTTCCAAAATTGTATGGAAGTAAATCCACAGTCTGATCAGTGCCTGTGAGAGCTGAACAATCCTGTACCTGAGATTTGGCTTCCAATTCCCTCACACTGGTTAGAAAACAGAGAACACAATGGCAATAATGATTTCAGGGAAATTATATTCAAGTATAAGTGGAAATAATTTCAGTGTCTCACACTGAATATAGGAGCCTTATTTAAACATAAATAAATATATATATATAAGTAAATACTTGATTGCAAAACAAAAAGAGAAAAAAACCCAAACAAAACAGTAAGGCCAGCAGCACCTAATGTTCAAATGCAAGAACCTGGATATGTGTGAGTACAAAGGTTGTTTCCCCCAAAGAATGAGGCAGCTGTGTAAGCAGGCTGAGTCTTGCAACTTATACTGCTTCTAAATCCAGAATAAACCAGAGAGAAAATAAGGTCAGATGTCAGCTTCCTTTCACCTGAGGAAAGAAAGGATCATAAAGGCATGTAAGCACAGGATAGGACTGGTGAATCTCAGCTGTGATGTTTAGTCCCACCCTAAGCCTGCACTGCCCATAACTACTGTAAACTGCTTTGGAATTTTAAATTGCTTTGGGATGTTGTAAATTGCTTTAAGGTAGAAAGAGACTTCTATTTACTTACTGTGCTTTGGCTTTACAGGGATTTGGTGTATTAGCCAATTTTAAAGCACAAGGTACTCTTAGAAGGACGTTTGTTTGTTTTAACAACACGGTTCTGCACTGCTAATTCCAGCAATCAGAACCTGAGGTTTCAGGGTAAGGTATACCTGGCCTCATTGCAGTTCCAAAGATGGATAAGAGGTTGCAGAACTGTTTTCCAGTGAGGAGACAACAGCTTAGAAAGAGCAAATTACAGATTAATGGTTTAATATATCCCCAAAGAGAAGCTTTATACATTGGGTATTATGCCAGAGGGGTCTGTGACAATTGAAATAATTTTTAGGTCTTGTTGCACATCAATCTGTTTCAACGGAAGTCACCTTTGCCTTCACTTTCTCACATGATGTCCTTGGCTGCTTGATTCCAGAAGCGAGCATACAAAAGCTATGTGCGGGCCCTGCCCATGCTCAAGAAGATGGGCGTCAGCTCCATCCTCCTCCGCAAGAGCATTGGCGCCCTGGAAGTGGCGTGTGGCATTGTCATGACACTGGTGCCTGGTCGCCCCAAGGACGTGGCCAACTTCCTGCTCCTCCTCCTCGTGCTGGCTGTGCTCTTTTTCCACCAGCTCGTGGGGGACCCTCTCAAGCGTTATGCCCACGCCCTGGTCTTTGGGATCCTGCTCACCTGCCGCCTGCTGATCGCTCGCCAGCCCGAGGAGTTGCCGCCGGAGAAGAGGATGCTGTCGGTGAACGGGGATGAGCAGCCACTCATCCACGAAGCAGCTCCTGAGAAAGGCAAAATGAAGGTATCCTAGTTGAGTGCATGTGAGGAAACACGGACCCTCGAGGCAGCACTCTCCAAAATCACCCAGAAAATTTGTTTTTAATTTACATACTTGCATTTGTTTTGGTTTTTTTTGTCTGTCTAAATAAAGTTGCACTTGGGGTCTGAGAGATACAAGGTATGTCTACACTGTAGTCTTGCTTTTGCTGCTGCCCTGTAATGTAGAAAAACACAAGTTAGCTTCCACAGGGACAGCTTGGAGGCAGTCAGCAACTTGGCTGGAGCAGTGCTGGCCTCAGCAGGAGCTGTAAAACCAACCTGAGACCCTGGGCAGAGACCTGGGTGGGCACTCAGGCCACCCTGGCACTGCTGCAGTGGGGAGATCGGTCCTGAGCACCAGCCCTGAGTCCTACAGCAGCAGAGCTGGCCTGGGTTGCTGCTGCCTGGGACAGTGACTGGGAAGGACATTACACACATTTGCATTTCCCTTTCCATGGTCAAGGGGTGAAAGGGACCCTGTTACCAAAAAATTGCTGTTTGTTA